GATGCGCGTATGTGCCCTGGAAGTTCCCCACAAAGATCTCTTTTAGGTCTGCCCAACTTTGGATTCGGTTGGGCGGAAGGTGTTCCAACAACGTTTGCGCCGAATCGGCTAGGAACAATGGAAGGTTGCAGATAATGAAATCGTCATTTTCCGCTCCACCAGCTTGGCAAGCAAGCTGATAATCCTCCAGCTATAGTCTGGGGTTCGTTTCCCCAGAGTATTTTGGGATGTTGGTCGGTGGTCGGTACAGTGGTGGGAAGACAGTGTTGAGGATGTGTCGGGCCAAGGCCTGAGGTCCTAGCAAGCAGGGGCTCAGGCTTTGGTCCTCGCCGCTGTCACAGCGTCTGCCACGTCGAGGGTGGTAGCCATGGCTAGCCCCTCCCTCGCATCGCCGTGGGCACGTCTGCGGGCGATGAGGGTGTCGCGCGTGTCACTGTGGCGGTCGAGATGCTCATGCACCGAGACCACGGTGCGTGGCCTGCCGCCTTGTGATGCCTGGTGGACTGACGCGTCCTTGTCGGGTCGCTCCAAGGGCGTGCGCTGGCTAGAGTCGAGCTCGCGTCGTTGGGACAGTGAGCTCTCGGCCTGCTGCGCCATCGTACACTCGAGTAGCGTGCGAATCTCACGATGGGCCCGACGATCCTCGAGCATCGCGGGCCCCGAAAGCCCCTGAAGAAAGGCCGCCATAGCAACGATGTTCTGGCTTGCCCAAGCGAAGTGTGGGAGCGCTTCATCGTCCTCGATGATCCTCCGGTTCACGTCGTGGGCCACGGCGCACGCGCGCCCACCATCTCCGTGGCGCTCGAGCTCTTGCTCGAGCTCCATGCATTCCTGCTTGAATTGGAGTCGCGCTTCCTCGAGCTCTTGGTGCCAGGCCTTTAGCTGCTCCACCCGCAGGCATGGTGGGGCCCCTGCATCCCTCTGGACCTCGTCATCAAGGTCGTTCGTTGGGGTAGCCTCTTACTCGTGGATGCTTTTCACATGTCCCTCAGGGGTACCTACCATGAAACACTCATGAGAGGGGTGATGGCTCCCCCTACTGGAGATAGAGGTGGAGGGCGACTCCGTTTCTCTTGCGAGGAGGTCGTGGAAAGATTCCGTAGCATATTTGGTCATTCCCATAAACTCATCGTCCACGACGGATGGAGGCGTGCGTTGTGCCACAAGGTGGCCAATGGTCTCTGCGGCGTCGCGGAGACCGAACGGGAGCGCTGTCGGGGCGCTTCGGATGAGGTATTCTGGAGAGAGCGGCTCTCCTCCGGTAAGCTTCGCCATGACATTGGCGAACAAGAATGTGAGGTGGCGCAGGTCCTCTTGGGACAATCGGGGTCCCATGAAGGCGCCGAGCTGGCGCTCTAACCTCCCGTAGTCGAAGCCGAGGAGCTGGTCGCTCCTGGGGGCGTGGGCCTCCGATGCATGCAATTGCAGCTCCTCAAGTGCCTCAGCGATCGCGTCGAGGCCGGCAGAGCGGAGAGGTTGGACGACGGCGGGAGCCAGCGCCAACTCTCCCTCCGTCATAACGATGATGTCCAGGTCTCCAAAGCGCACGTGCGCGCCCAAGACCCAGCTGACGTTGTGACTAGCCATCCGAAGCCTGGTGTGGATGTCGAGACGCGCAAAAGGCCCCTACCTAGCGCACCAACTGTCGGTGTTTTGAGTCACCACCAACAAGTAAATTTCTAATATTGCGCGTCTGGCTTGGATGGTGTGCTTAGAGGACACGAGGTTGATACTGGTTCGGGCAGAATGTCCCTACGTCCAGTTCATCGCTGCTGCTCACGTTACTAGCACTAAAAGTTTGCAGTAGGGGTTACAAATGGACGAGAGAGGGACATGTCCTAAGTCTCTAATGGAAGGAATGAACGAGTGCCGAGAGCTCAGTTGCTCCTCAGCCATGTGCTTGTGTTGTGATCGGTTCGAGGTTCGATGGGTTCATGATGGTTCGATCGGGTCTGGCCTGGATCGATCGTTCGATTGTTCGATGGTCAGATGCCCCTCATGAGGCGCCCTACTTTCCCTTTTATAGGCCAAGGGAAAGCACGGGTTACAACGGAGGAAAGGAGGAGAGCGAGCGAGAGAGAGGATGTCATTCAGGATCTCTGGGTCCTTCTTATCCTTCATGCGGGTCCCGCTGGCTGGTAGATGTCAATAGGGACGGCTCCATGTCGTGGACCTATCCGTTACTAGTGCCATGTGCAGGCGTTGTCTGCCGGTCATGGCACTCCACTCCGTCCTGTCGGACGTCGTGGTGAACTGACGCTCCTATCAGTGTTTGTACAAGGGTTAGGCAGAATAGCCTCGGTACGTCCGACGTTGTTCCTGATGTGAACCCTCGAGTATGGCCCGTTGTGGCCGCGGGTTCCATCGGGGCGTGCCGGTCTCTTCCCTGGTGTCAGAGCTTTTACCTAGGCCCATACACTTGGACCTGGAGTGGTTAGCGACGGCATGGGTCTCCATCGGGCGAGGCGGAGCCCGCGGCCTCGGGGTCGGGCAAGGCGGAGCCCGTGGCCAGGGGCCGGGCGAGACGGAGCGCAAACCCAAGGGTCGGGCGAGGTGAAGCCCGCGGCCTTGGAGGTCGGGCGAGGCGGAGCCAGCCCTCAGAGGTCGGGCGAGGGGGAGCCCGCGGCCTCAAGGTCGGGCGAGGGGGAGCCTACAGCCAGAGGCCGGGCAAGGCGGAGCGCAAACCCAAGGGTCGGACGAGGCAGAGCCCGCGGCCTTTTAGGTCGGGCGAGGCGGAGCCCGCGGCCAGAGGCCGGGCAAGGCGGAGCGCAAACCCAAGGGTCGGACGAGGCGGAGCCCGCGGCCTTTTAGGTCGGGCGAGGTGGAGCCCGCGGCCACAGTGTCGGGCGAGGCGGAGCCCGCGACCTTGGGGTCGGGCGAGGCGGAGCCAGCCCTCAGAGGTCGAGCGAGGCGGAGCCCGTGGCTTTGAGGTCGGGCGAGGCGGAGCCAGCCCTCAGAGGTTGGGCAAGGTGGAGCCCGCGGCCTTGGTGTCGGGCGAGGCGGAGCTTGCTCGCCTAGGGGTCGGTTGGAGCCGTAGTCGTGCTCTTGACTACCCGGATGAATCAATGTTGATGTCCATTAACTACTCCTCTTCGGATACCCTAGTATTGGTCCCCGACAACTGTCACCATCAGGTTCTAAATAGTCATTTTGTTTCTCTTACCTAATGTACGACTGATTGTTTGATTTGATTAATGAGTGTGTCCTGCCATGTTCATGCGGCTAATAACTTTTTTTTCTTTTCGAAAAGCCACAGACGAGAAAATCTCTGAGCATGTATTAATAGAGAAGACATGTGTGGCTAACGCTAATATGGAGTACATGTTTACTTTTCTCGATAACTATCTATGTAGATGTAGCTCTGGACGACGACCCTTCCATGCATCTGCGCCGGAGGTCGAAGACGGTGCGGGTGACCCCGATCTACTACGAGGTGGTGCCGGGTTGGATTCAGCCTGCTGAGACGCCTTCCGCTACTGCTGGTCGCCATGATCAGATCATCCAGATGTATCCCGAGGATACCCAGTTAGGTGATCCGTGATCATGCATGCCCCTTCCATTTTGACCTAGGTAGTTATCTAAACAGTTCGTCCTGGTCCTGGCATCGTGAAAATTAAATTAGGTTTCCTCGCTCGCAGGCTATTGGATAATAATAACCTGGTCGTCTTCCATACACTACCGGACTTCTTGAGTTTACCGAGTGTCCGAAACATTCGGTAAAAGACATAAAACACTCGGCAAATGGTTCGCTGAGTGTAACATTCGGCGAACAGCACTCGCCAAAAACAGTGACGGCAAAGCCAACTTTGCCGAGTGTCTTTTATCGGGCACTCGGCAAAGTTGAAACCGAAAAAAAAACCCGAAAAAAATGGGAATTTTTACCAAAAATAAATGAAATTTTTTTTTTATCGATGGAGTCTCCCACCGGCTAGCGCCCATCCATCTACGACATTTTTCGCGTGAATTTCATGGCTACGCGGCCGACGCGATTCGAACCCGAGACCTCCCGCTGTGCACGTACCTCCTCTACCACTACACCACACTCTGTCTGGATTCCGTTTTAGTTTTCAATATATTATACTAAACCGAGTGTAAATTGCATGTTTGAGGTCCTAAACGAATTCAAATAAAAAAGTTGTAAACTACAAAATTTCATAACTTTTTGAGATCTACATTTTTAGTTTAGGAAGTTTTTCCATCCGAGGTCGTTTACAAAATTTGAATTTTAAAATTTTGAAATTCAAACACAGTTTTGCATGACAAGATGTTTTCAAATCAAAAAGTTGTCAACTACAATGTTTCATAACTTTTCGAGATCTACAGAGTTTATTTTGGTTGTTTTTTCATCCGAGGTCGTTTGAAAAGTTTGAATTTTAAAATTTTGAAATTCAAACGCAGTTTTGCATGACAAGATGTTTTCAAATCAAAAAAGTTGTCAATTACAAAGTTTCATAACTTTTCGAGATCTACAAAGTTTATTTTAGTTGTTTGATCATCTGTTCATCTGACATGGTCGTTCTAACATTGTTCACAAATCTTATATCTCTATCTTGTAGTTTCATATACTACGAGAGAGATATGTTAGATTTGTAAACAAATTTATTTTCACTTTGTCGTATGAAGAAAAGACCAAAACAAACATTGTACATCTTGATGAGTTATACAACTTTGTAGTTGAAAACTTTTTCATTTGAATTAATTTACTGCTTCAAAATGTGCTTTGAAATTTTCTTTGCCGAGTGTAAAAAAAACACTCGGCAAACAAGCTCTTTGCCGAGTGTCAAAAAAAAACACTCGGCAAAGAAGCTCTTTGCCGAGTGTTAAAAATAAACACTCAGCAAAGGCATCTTTACCAAGTGGCCGAAAAACAACACTCGGCAAACCACCTGGCATCGGCAAAGAGCCGGTCTCCGGTAGTGATACATATATAATAACAACTGAAGAAGATTCAAAACTAACCTATTACTATTAACTATTGTATTGATGAGCACACGCAGAAGATGGCATTGACGGCAGCGTCATGGGATGGAGGAGGAGCCAACAGGGGTGGCTACGACTACTGCTGGGTCATGGAGCAGGTCAGGACAATCGAGGCGGCCATGAGCCGGGACAAGAAGCTGCTCAGGAAGCTGAACAAGGAGGTGGCGGAGCTGAAGCGCGAGGTCCAGCGCTACAAGGAGCACCTCGACGCCATGCAGCAGATGAACAAGGGAAGGATGATACTGGCCATGGTGGCCGAGCTGTTCCCGGTCCCGGACAGCATCAGGACCACGCTCACCCGCCTTATCGACCTAATATAACCTAGCTTGCATTGCATGATCAAGATCAGGGCATGACCTCGATATTGCGATACAAAGAAATTTAAAGGTTGCTACTAGCTAGCTGTTCCCTTCCCAAGCTAAATTTTGCTCAGTTTTGTATGCGAGACGTATATGCATGTATCTTTCTGGACATGTGTGTGTGGCCGATGGCCGTCGGTTTAATTTGTATTGCGCGCGTGTGTAAATGCTACTTGAGTCTTGAGGTATGTTTTTTTTGGACATTTTGTTGTGCTTGATGGAGGATACATACGCGCTTGATTACCCAAACATTTGGTGACAGGGAAAACTGGAACACCAGCAGGAGCGTTAAGACACTTATTCGCTTTACTCTACTTTATTTTGCCTTGCTTGCACATTCGAGTGCAAACAAACATGTGTAATCTTCACCCACAAGTAATTAAGTGAGCATCAGGACTTCTTTTTATTTACTTATGAAAAAAAAATGGATGACACTAGAAGGTGAAATTTCCGGTATTATTACGACCTTGCCCGTATCTAACCCCGTACGAGTAGTTTCAACTTGGAAGATCTGGTAGTAGTTTTTAATTCATGACCTTGCTGACGGAAGCGAGCGCGTTTAGTAGTTTAACGGAGTACTAACTAAGTCGATATATAATAGCAGCTCCGCTGTCATCATCATTCATCACCCTCAAATGGATTGTAGGACGTGGGAGTCTAACGGTGAATGGAGTGAGGAATGTTGAGATGATCCATAACTGCTTTGTTCTCCTGGTGAGCTTCTTCGTTCGCTTTCTTGGGCACATAGCAACATAGCAACACAGAGAGGACTGGTTTTACGACGCGTTTGGTTGGAGCTTCTGTAACGTAATCTGATTCCATCGGTATCCATTTGCGTTGCTTTTTGTTTGTTTCAAGCGGCCTCGCAGTCAGTTACGGTGATATATATCCGATACGGACGCGTGGAAACGCGATACAGCTCCCCTGTTAGAGTTATTTGTTAATGTTGCTGCTCATTCCATTCCCACGCTGAACCAAACAAAACATGGAATCATCCAGTTTGGAATCGGTAACGGTGTGTACTGATTACATTGACGTTTCCATTTGCATTTTTGAACCAAACAGCACCCGGCCCTGTGACCGCTGCGGGAGAGAGATGCCGAGACTATTTGACTCAGAACGAAACTATAATTGTACCCCCTTGGTTCTAATTTATATGTTGTTTTGGCTTTTTTAATACTCAACTTTTATTACATATCTAGACATAGTGTATATCTAGGTGTATGACAAAAACTAGTTACTTAGAAAAGCCAAAACGATGTTTGGGATAGAGGATGGTATAATCTTTTAAGAACAAGGGAGTAACATACTCTTACTCAAAAAAGGGAGTAATATACTCCCTCCGTCCCATAAATAAGAGTCACTATGGACTTGTGCCGGTCAAACTTTTTTAAATTTAACTATACTTTTAAAAAATATTAATAACATTTGCATCTTTAAATAATTTTATTATGAAAATATATTCAACGACCTATCTAATAATATTAATTATATATCAGAAATATTAATAATATTTTCTTATATATATTTGATCAAAGTTATTCATGTTTGACTTCTTGAGAAGTGAGAATGAAATTTTTTATGGAACGGATGGAGTACAATGTAGATGCAAATGTGCCCTACTACTACTCGTTCAAGCAAGTGACAAAAGTAACATTGGGTTGTACGAAGTCAACCAGTAGCAACAATGCTCAGTTCATATATGAGTTTAAAAAACCCGGTGGATATTCCAAAATGAGCCATCCCATCGGTCTGCAAAACCAAATGAGATGGGCCATAATTCCAGGTTTCCAAGAAATCAGCCCAAGCCCGGAAACTGCAAAACGGGGAGAAAACCCACCGGGCTGACGGCGGCAGAGGCCACAGCCCACAGAACTGCAGAAACCGCCGCCGTCATAGCAACGCCCAAAGCGGAAGCAAGCCAGTTATCAAAAAAAAAAAAAAAACAGATCTCGTCGTCTACAAAGTACTCCGTACTGTACAGACAGCAGCGCACTGCACTCTTCTCTCTTCTCTCTTCTCTGAAGTCTGCACATCCTCCCTCCCGGACACGACAGGGCAGCCAAACCCGAGCGCCCAGAGCAAACAATCCCATGCCGACCGCTTCCATGGCCGTGGCCTCGGCCGCGCGGCCGCCAACGCCAACACCGGAGCCGCCGGCGCTGCTGGGGTCGCTGTGGTCGACGCTGGAGGACCAGCGCGGGGCGGCGGTCCCGCTGCTCTCCTCGGCCTGGACCCTGCCGACCACCTCCCAGGACGGGGACGGGGAGGAGCAGCGGCCCAAGGAGGGCCTTCTCCGCCGGGCCGGCGGCGCCGTGGCCCGCTGGTGGGGGGCGGCGTGCGGCGCGGTGGCGGAGCTGTGGGCGTTCGCGCGGGCCGATCCGCGGAAGCCCGTGTTCGCGGGGAAGGTCGCGCTCGCGCTCGCGCTCATCTCGCTGCTCGTCTTCATCCGGGAGCCGCGCGACATCGTCAGCCACTCCATCTGGGCGATCCTCACCGTTGTCGTCGTCTTCGAGTTCAGCATCGGTGCGCGCCGCCTTTGACTTTCCCTGGGTTTACTTGCGTTCAATTCAAGGTGTCATCTTTAGCTATGGTCCCTCTACTGTTCAGTCTTGATCGAAATTCCTTCGTTTGTCAAATCTCTTGCGTGCCTTCATCTTCTTTTGGGATCTTTGTGCTGCCCTGCCCTTGTCTCTGTTCCGACACATCAGTTATTGGAGCATGGCCACATATATAGTATTAAATCGAAGCGGTGAATAAACAGTTCCGTCCAATGTTCATCTGATCTGCAGATTAGCAACTGCCGTTGCATTCAAAATCACTCGGGCCTGCTATTATGAGATCAGTTGACCGAGTGATCTTAAAAATGTCTCTGTTCCGACGCATCTGATCTTAAAAATGTCATTATGAGATCTCTTCTTTTGGGCAATGATAAAGAGATGTTAGGTTTGTACTCCCAGCAATGTACCACACGGGTCCACTTTTAGGTGACCGAGTGAATCAGTTGTTCTGTGCAGAGACAGGAAAACTCTTCCATTTGGCCCATCTGTTGAACGTGCCCCCTGCTTTTGGCATCGTTCGAAGACCTGGTGATAGAGCGGCTTTTGACATTGCTGAAGATCCGGTGGTAGATGGATTAAGAAATGGTGCTTGCGTAGTTTATGATGTTGGCTGGCATATTTTATTTCAACCTGTGTGCAGTGGGATGTGTAACTTTATTAAAACTATATTCACAATGGTGATGGACCACAACTTCTTAAAATTTAGGCCAGATGCTTCTTGAGACATCTTCAAAGTCCAAACTATCATACCTTAAAATTTAATCCGGGCACAATTGCTTATTAAAGTATGGGTATCATCAAATTTATTTGGAAACCCTTTTTGTGTAGGTCTAATGTAAGAGCTCAGAGAATAATGGCTACTCAAATGGACTAAACAAATACAATTTGGAAGAAAAAGTAAGATTGGTTGTTAAATATTGTAGGTATTGTTTCTGTGATGCAGAAAGTTAAAAAAACATAGATAAATGCTTCGTTTAGTACTTGGGACTTAAATAAGTGTACCTCTGATTAATCATGAGGGAAGGTTTTTTATTTGCCACTAAGAAAGCTGTTCTTTTTTATACCTTTCGTTTTTGTCACTGGTCTATTAAGGTGCTTGTTTTTTTTTTCTTTTTCATTTTTTGCTTAGATGGAAAATTTTCAACTTGGAGAAGATGGGTCCAGTGGCTGTGCACACCTGCAAATTCATTTGTTCATATTCTGTAATTGATTTTAGTCAGTGTTGATGCAGGTGCAACCTTAAGCAAAGGTTTTAATCGGGGATTGGGGACACTAACTGCAGGAGCTTTTGCTCTAGCAGTTGCAGAATTGTCCAAACATCTGGGAAAACTGGAGGAAGTAATTCTTATAACAAGCATCCTTATTGTTGGTGAGCACTTACATTCTGAGAGCATTCGATTTTTTTTTCTCAATGGGGCCTATGAATATATCTAAAGTGCAATTTTCCTTGTTTATATTGGTAGCCTTTGTCACAACCTTGACAAAGCTGCATCCGAAGATGAAGCCGTATGAGTATGGATTCCGTGTGTTCTTGTTGACATTCTGTTATGTTATGGTCTATGGGTACAACAGTGGGAAATTCACTGATACAGCTACAAGCAGATTTATATTGATTGCTATTGGTGCTGCTGTCAGTCTTGGAATCAATATAGGCATCTACCCAATCTGGGCGGGAGAGGATTTGCACAACTTGATAGCAAAGAATTTCACTGGTGTTGCAAAATCCTTGGAAGGTATGACCTTGCGTGCTGCTCAAACTTCAGAGTATTTCCAATGCTTGGAGAAGTTAAAATATGGTGTTTCGTGTCCTTGGTCAACTAGTAGCTATTGATTATATACGCTTCTGATTTGTTTATTTCTTGCCAAATCTGCCAAATTAATGACATCAAGTTATATGATTGATACTGTTCATTGTACATTTGCTCTAGGTTGCGTTGATGGATATCTGAGATGCATGGAATATGAAAGGATTCCTTCAAAAATACTTGTGTATCAAGCATCTGATGATCCTCTATATAGTGGGTACAGGGCAGCTGTTGAGGCATCAGCACAGGAAGAAACCCTGGTTTGTGCTTGCTCTATATTCAACAATCAACAGTCTGCCATGTGTATTTTGGTGAATTTTGGTTAGGTAATTTCTAGTGTGTTTTCAGCTTGGTTTTGCTATATGGGAGCCACCCCATGGCCCTTACAAAACAATGAACTATCCTTGGAGGAGTTTCACCAAAGTTAGTGGAGCATTGAGGCACTGTTCCTTTGCAGTCATGGCATTACATGGTTGCATTCTTTCAGAAATTCAGGTTTGTCCATTTAATGTCAATAACAAACTGTTGAGACTCTGCATCTTTTTTTTTCTAAACAAATATATTATGGACATTAGGCACCACCAGAAAGTAGAAGGGTATTTGCTGCAGAGATTCAAAGAGTGGGACAGGAAGGAGCTAAAGTGTTGCGCGAGCTTGGAAGCAGAGTTAAGACAATGACCAAGCTGAGTTCTTCAGGTATTCTGTTCGAAGTTCACATGGCAGCTGAAGTGTTGCAAAAAAAGATCGATGAGAAATCATATCTTCTGGTGAACACTGAAAGATGGGATGCTAGCAAGCAAGCTCAAGGAATCAAAGAAGTTTTAAATGGCACCCGTGCTGTGGAAAAGGAAAACAAGAACAAAGAAAACAAGAATGATGGCACCAGTGCTGTGGAAAAAGAAAACAAAGCCAAAGAAAACAACAATGGAGGGGTGGAACCTACCATGGTTGATCAAACTTTAGTGCATCAGTCAAAGAGCTTTCTTGGAAATTCATTTCTAAGCAGATTTGATTCAGCATCAACAATTGACGGTTTTAAGCCACTACTTTCTTGGCCTGCTCGTAGATCATTCCATCCAAACATACCACTTGAAGATGAGGATTCCCAAACATATGAAAGTGCAAGTGCCTTGTCCTTGGCTACATTTGCATCACTTCTGATTGAATTTGTTGCCAGACTACAGAATGTTGTTAATGCATTTGAAGAGTTGAGTGAGAAGGCTAACTTTAAGGATCCTGTGGAGGAGCCTACTGCAGTTAGCACAAGTGATGTTAGGTTTTTTGATAAAATACGCAAATTGGTAGGATTCTAGAGTTGACACTGATGACAACCTGCAAGGCTTCAGTTTCAGATGACCATGCAATCCTGTTTTGGCACCCAGTTTCTGTTTTTAAAATTAATTTGGGGTACGGAATGTACACTGAACTTGTAAATGTGCAATCAGATGATTGCAAGCTGTATTGCTGGAGTTCAGTTTACAGCCACAGAAATCATCAATATATATATGGTAAAATGCTGATCTCTGCATCTCCTGTATTGTGTTTTCAGCGCCTTGTAAATAATGTTACACCTGGCTGGTTGCACAAGGGTTCAAAGTATATTTTGTGAATTGCCTGTTTTTCATTCTTTTTTGCACTCACCAGAAATTTTGATCTTGGTTTTTGTATCACTGTGATTTCTTGTTCTTTGTTAGTTTTGGTTGTCTTTAATGTATTATTGATGAAAGTTGTGTAGACTGTCTTGCGAATTAGAATCCTTATCACAGTATTCCATCGATCAGAAAACTGTTGATGAAACTGAATACCAATCAGAAATATCACAAGTGTCCCAACCTATATGACATGGCAGTGGTCCTGCCAACTTTTCAAAAAATGAAATACCACAACTGCTGCTATCGATTATGTTATGCTTCCCCACTTTAATCTTACAAAGTGAGAGATCTCTACAACATAGCAAACATGACTGCTGCTTTTGACTATATACAGGCAGCGGGAATACAAAGTACAATATGCTAGCTATGCTTATCTACCTTTACTTCCTATTTCCCCGTCTTGTAACCGTTTTTCTATCTCGTAGTTACATTCCTCCACACGATTATAACCAAAGAAGAGGAGGGCTCCATGGCAGTTTCAGAATTCAGACGCAGGATTGCACGTCTGTAAGAACAAGCATGGTCAGCTGATTTCACAGTAGCATCTTTGTAGTATTTACAGAAGTTGGTTGTGCAACGCTCGTCGCAGGAAGGAAGGAATTCTGCTTGGTCTGCGAGGGTTGGTGCAGTCTGAATCGATCCACCCGACCTCATTCTCATCATTGTCATAAGCAATCAATTTTCCACGAAGAGAAACATCTGCAACAAATATGAGATAAGGATAAATTTAGCAGGAATAGATTGGGAAGTCGAAATTTGTCAAGAAAATGACCACCGAATACCTCCGACTATTATTACTGAATCATAACCGATCGTTGTTCCATCGAGCACCCCCAGGCAGACATTGCCCTTATCCTGAAATGAATCCCAGGAAAACCATGATGTTGTATGTGTACTACTGTACTTCAAATAGGAAATGGAGTATACAGTGTTAATCAGATGTAAGAAACATCACACGGGAACCTACACTGATGATCAAGTAATCTTCAGGACGAATGTTGAAGGTTCTGGAGAAGAAAAATCGTTTCTCGAATTGCAGACTCAAGGTCTTGAAAAAATATTTCACATCATCCACAGATCTGAAAAAATGCCTGTCAATTTAGCAAAAAAGGCATATTCAATTAAGAGATTTCAATCATGTTACCTCACTGGAAAATCAGCTTTCATGCAGAAAGGAAGTGTTTTGTCTGAGTCATCTTGTACAAATCGCGGGGATGCAGCCTTCAGCTGTCAAATTAAAAGAAAACATAAGAATTGACCTGTTTTGTGATTACATCTATAGAAGAATTGACACTCACCGAAGATATCAAATTTATAAGAGCCTCATTTGGGAAATATGTATATGTGGACCCACTGTCAAAGATCACTTGAGTCAACTTCCCTTGCACATTGAGCTGCTGTTCCCCGTGGTTTACTTGCTGGACTTGGGCTCTGCGTATATCACTGAAGCTCGCAAGAAAGAGAAAGTTTCAGTGATATGACCTAACTGTTATTATTTCAACTTTATATAACAGCGTATTCATGTGCAATTTTATTTCATAGGAAAGGGGTATATATATATATGGTTGTTTTTGCAACTAAATATTTGTGATTTGAGTAGAGACATAGCATGCAGGTCAGTTTCATGGCATTTCCAGATGCGTGTGGTGACAGTGTGATAATAGGGAGAGAGTAACGAGCTATAGAAAAGCAGTTGAGTAATTTTTCCCTTTTATGGTTTCAGTCTCAGAGAATGACAAGAACTGGTAAGATTGCTGAGGATATGTTGCAACACAGCATATCGCAATGTCTAAAAATGATGCATGACATCCAAGGAAAGAATGATAGCCACACGAACTGAAATAATTTTCCATAAGACAGAGGCAACTTACTCTGCTGGACCATCTCGGATAGGGACCCAAGTCATACCCCATCTGGGAATGTAATCATCGCCAAGAAACAAATAACCGCCACCACTGGGATCTCTCGTCACACAGTGACCGAAAGCATTGGAAATAATACCTCGGCTGGCTAACTGTGTAGGAAGGCTTAGTGCCTGGTTGCTCAGGCCGAGAATGCCATCAGTATTTTCTAGTCTGTTCAGAAGAATTCCTTGCTGATCGTATCCACACCTGTATGTGATGGACAAATGGCAGTTAGTTTCTTAGACAATGTGCTAACAACAATCATCATTATACATACATGTCATGATGTTATCAATTATTGGAAGGTTGACTCATACCCAAACACAATGTCCGCATTTTCCCTTTCACCATCTTCACTGATGAACTGCATATTATCCCTTACATGAATGCCCATAGAGGAGCTTCCGTCGGCATAACTGATATCATAGTCGCACTGATTTGGGTTGTCATGTTGGACTCGACCACAAAGTGGATCACTGGCAGGAACTAGGTTCGTCCGCGCAGGCCTATATACAGGGTGAGCTCCCTGTAACAAGATTGAATAATGTTTATTACAGAATCCAGTGAACTTGGGACAATCCAGCTAATCATGAAAAAGAAGAGCTTCAAATGGGGACTTTGAACCCATGACTTCAGCCCCTCAACCACTAAGCCACATGGAATTTACCACTAATTATTAATTAAGATCATCATGCAGCAACATTGTAGTAAAACGGAGCATGTAGCTGAAATGGTGTGTACATACCTTTGCACAGCTTGTGCATGGCGCGTCGCACTGTATCCATGTTGCATGGCTCCCAGTATCAACATCAAGAAAATAAGGCCTTGGAGGATTGCCCAATGAGATAGTAGTGTAGTATAGCCTGCACAGGTAATAAGGACATTAACATTTAGAAGGAAAATAATGCGATGTTAACAACAGCGGTGATCAGGGCCTACCAACAGCAGTTGGATGTATATATAAACAAGAAAAGACGATCTAAATCATCAAATAGTTATTATACAGTATGTCCGTTTGTTGGCAAGAGTGTGGACTTCGAAGCCAGCAAAGCAGTATCGCTCTAATTTATTGGAAAGTGCACTGTTATTCCAAAATTTAAAGACAGTTGTATATCTGAGTATAGACAACTTCGAGAGCGTAGGCCCTACTGAATGAAATCCCAAATGATTGAGAGAGTTACACTGTCTCCAACAGCGTACGCATAACGCGACCCATACCCAAAATGCGTGGTGCACAGTGTTTTATCGGCAAAAATACACGCTCCAATGGAGTAGCCAATCGCATGACTCATTTTGCGTCCGAGGCGACGCGGAACGCAAATAAGCGTCATCTCTCCGTCTCACCCGTCGGTCTCTTCCTCTCCCTCTCGATCCCCACGCGGACAGGGCAGCGACAGATGGCGCGGGCAGGCACGGCGGCTGCGGCCGGCCTCCTCCTCCTCCTCTCCCCCTCGTGCCGCACCGTGGCCGGGGACGGGCACCGCCGGCGCCCACGGGCGGTGCGAAGTCCGCGCTGCAGCCCACCGGCGAGGGAGGCCCCCAGGCGCGGCAGCGTGGGACGAGCGCCCTCCCCCTGACGCGGCGGTTCGGGGCCGGCGCGGCGGCGCTGGGGCGAGCGCGCCCCCTGGCGGCGGGGCAGGGCGAGCGCCCTCCCCTCCCCCGGCGCGGTGGTGCGGCGGTGCCCCAGCCCCAAGGTGCGGCCTCTCTCCCTTCCTCCTCTCCTTACCTCACTGGCTCCGGAGTCGAGTGTCGGTCTGTGCTTGTCACCGTTCTTTGCTGGGTCGATCTGGGGCCTCCAAAACCGAATCCAGGAACTTAATGGCTGGATCCATTCGTTCCCCCACCAGATCTGGCCTGGTGGCGTCCTCTTGCGGCGTCCGACGTCAAGGGATGCAGCATGGGGATATCGTGTGGCACCGCGGCTCCTCGCCTTCCGTTTCTGGCCCTCTTGGCTGTTGAAGTTGGTAAGTTTTGGGTTCGTGACCCTTTCTCTGTGCGTGATCCAAACCGTGGAATAGGTGCCACGTTTAGTTTATATTTGTTGGAGACAGCCTTACGGTTCGGAATGATGGTCAAGCGTACCTCCAATTCTGTAAAGTAACGACTAGAGTACAAACTCAGCAACTAGCACTAAACAAATGATAGTTCCAACTACTCCCCAAAAACAAACAGCAGAGCGATTAGACTTCGTTGTAATAACTTGGTGGAGCCCCCTGAAACATGGTATAGCCAACTGAATGGAAAGGGAGAAATGACAAGAGACTCGTGTTAGTTGATCTCCACCAATAGGCCCAACGGCCTATTGGGCCCTTGGCTCTGCTCCCTGATCGGGGGAGCCCAACCCTAACTGGTTGGTGGGCCCCTGTCGCACAGCACATATAAATAGAGAAGGTGGGGATCGAGCTCAAGAAACGAGGTTCACTGGAGCCGCAATCCCACCTAAAGAAAACCCTAATACCGATCCTAAAGTGTGCTGCCAGCGACGGGATGTGCCCCACCATTGCCGTCTCCCACTGCAGGTCACCGCCGTCGCCCCACTGTATCGTCACCTCGCCTCCTCATCAGCACGCCGAGCACTGGCGTCCGCGAGGCTGTATCTAGGGCGGCATCGGCGTCCACGCTCCCGCTGCGGTGAAGCTCCGCAAGGGTTGAGGAGCCTAACTACGGATCTATGGGTTACACACAGAAAGGTACTCACATCGATCCTAACAATGGTACCAGAGCCAGGTTGACTCTGTGTAACCCTAACCCTAACCG